CCGTCCAAGGTCAAAGGAATTAATGATTTTGGCTGTCTGTTCAGGATGCAATGTGAAGTATTAGAAGAGGTACACTGTTCTGCTGTATAGTTTCTTGACTGTGGCTTATAAGACAAGCGGGTGCTCTTTCTTGCTCTTTCGGTGATCTTGTTGCGTAACTTGCTTGCTCTGCTTCAGTTTTGTCACTGTAAAATGCTCCTCTGTGAAGCCATTCAAAGTCTTGTTAAAACTACTGTGCCAAAGCTAGGTGATAATGTTGGGGCATGGTTTTTCAGGGATTACCAAGTGTGCAGCCTTGGAAATCAGGGACTTGTGGCAGCTGAAGTAAAGCATACTGGATCACCGGTCATTTTTGCATTTTTTAATTTTCTTACCTCTATTAAAAATAAGTATTCATTTACCTATTTTACGGAATTTCTGGGATTTACTTTGTCAGTTTTCATGAAATGTCAAATGCACAAATCACCATGTTAATTTATGATTACTCACTTAAAGGAGGATTTATTTTTGGATTTGGAGCTTTTATTAATTTACAGAAATTAGTGCTTTCATGTAGATCCTGAGTTTCTTAATTACTTAACTCTAGGGATAAATGCACATTGAAAGATTTTATTCTCTTTCCGCCTTCTAAATGAAATTTGTCCTCAAATTATAAAGTTCAGACTGCTGAGCCAATTGCCTTTTGTTTACCAGAACTCTGCTTTTTGTGAGTCATTTATTTAGTCGAACAAAGTAAGTGACTTTTCAAAGTTTTGGTTTTTGTGTTTGTTTTTCTTTTAAAGAAAAATATTTCTACTTTTACAATTTGGATATTGTCCATAATCTTACAATAGATTATTTTTGTTATTGTTGTAATAGAAAATTAAATAAGGAAGAGGCTCTCCAGAGATGTGCCTGTATTAAAAATTTGTTTTCACGGAATCACAAACAATAGTTGATGTTGGAAAGGACCCCTGGAGATCATCTTGATCAGCCTCTCAGCTCAAAGCAGGGTCAACTACAGCTGGTTGCTCCAGACCTCTTCCAGTTGGATTTTGAATACCTCACTGTAAAAATAAATACTTTTTCTTACATTTAAATTGAATTTCTTGTAATCCAGTTTGTGCCCATCACCTGTTTTCTGTTCACTGGATAATACCGAGAAGAGTCTTGCTCCCTCTTTTTTACCCTCTCCCACCAGGCATTTAATTTTATTTGAATTATTTTATTATTAAAAAAAAAAAAGTATTCCCGAAAGATGCTGATAATATCAATAAGGTGAAGAAATGAGGTATTTTACTTCCTTAAATTGTCTTAAATTCCTCCACCGGAGGGAGGCTTTCTGAATTGTGACTTAAATACAGGAGAAGAACTCAGAGTAGAGTTATTATCTTGTTTCCATTTTGGCTAGTTGAAATGTGTGTGTCAATCATTACTCTGTAAGAGAAATACTAGATCAAATGAATATTATCTTCTTTTGAGAAATGTGATTTAACTGTTTTGTTCAAATCCTGACTTTGGTCTGATGATTCCTGCCTTCTGCTCTTATCCCCTCTGCCCGATCTACACAGTCAACTATTTACAGATCACATACCTTTTGTCATCTTTCTTTGTCATTACGGTTCATCAGAAATTTCTACTGAAATGTTTTTCTCAGGAAAAAAAGCTGAGAAAATAGAAAGATCTATTGGAAAGTTTTGGTGCCATTGAAACTAGCAGGAGCTATACTGCCTGTTTTGTTGCCTTGCACCTGAACAGTTGCCAAGAAACCAACTGATGTGATTTGTAGGTGGGAATGTCATGAATGAGTGAGCTGCCTACTTGCTTGGTTTACAGCAAGAAACTTCTCATTTTTGCTGGAATTCCCTGCTGAGCAGGAGCTCTGAATTACAAGTTCAATATACAGTGTAATTTCATATACTTCAGTTTGCATATGATAATATTTAAATGAAATTTTCATTGAAAAACACAAGGGTTTTAAAGGTTTATGTAACTTCTTAGATAATCCTATTAATGTGAAGTAATATATCTAAAATGACCAAGGTTAATTTATTGAGTAAATACTCACCTTCACTATCTGCCACTGTGATTAAAAGTGTTGCTTTTGACATAAGGTATCAAAACTTTAAAATATGAATGTGTTGGAGGCCTTGTATCTTCTTGGTGCTTATCTGCCTGTTGTTTGTTATCTGGTCCTTGGACAGTCTGCCTCTTGTCTTGTCTCTCCTCCAGGATGAGGAGTACAACTTTTAACATCTTTCATCTGGGCCAGATTCTTGACACTTTTTCCTCACTAATTTCACAAGGACTCTGAGTTTTATACTCTTTGGTTGTTTTTCATGTCATTCCTGTCATGATATGCTATCTTATTATAAACAAATATCTGGTATGCTTTATTCATTTAAAGGTCAGTGGTTTTTGTGTATTAGTGCTCTTGAAACTTGGGTATTGTGTCTGTCAGAAAGCCTCACCTTTATCATATACCTTAATTTATACTTAGTTTATAAGTAAATTATAAAGGTAGTGTAAGTTTATAAGGGGATTCCTCCTTTTCTTTCACAATCTTCAGGCTGCTTAGGACCATTTGCACTTGTATCCTTCCTACAATCTCTTCCTGATTAGGATTTCCAGATGTATGTCCCCCTTTAGGTGCCTAGGGTGTTAGTTTTTGTCTTGTATAACTATGCATGTAACTTTTTTTTTATTTATTCTATATTTCTTCTACTGACTTTGGTCTGTGAGCCATTCTCCATGTTCAGCTGATCATCACTAACTTTTAAAGTGTTTTTCAGTAGCACCAGGAGCTTCTTAATCTCAGAAACAGCCCTGAGTGAAGCTTAGTTAAATCTGTTTTTGTTGTTGATAAAGCAGTTGCCATGACCTTCTTGTCTTTTTCTCTGTGAACAGTCTTGCGTACAGGATCTGCTGTGTCATTTATAAAGATTGCTCCTCACAGAAGTGTTCTTTTATCTGAACTTTGAATCATTTAAGCAGAACTGTGAGGAGGACTTTCTTACTGTCAGCTGTCTGAGTAATCATTTCAAAGTTCATGCAGCTCTTTAGGTCACCTTTTATTGTGTAGTGTCTTTCCTCAGTGTCAGAAATCTTTTTTTCAAATACTGTTATACATCATCTGCAACTCCCCAATTAGCTCCATCTTTCTGTAGTCTGTTATCTGCATTTAAAAATAAATAAATAAATAGTTCACTATGTCAACGATGCTGATTTGCCTTTTGAGATGGATGTGGCAGTGTAATGAATGAGCTGTATACAATCATTTTAAGAAGAATATTTGCTCAAGCCATTCCTTTGGATCAATGCACAGCCTCCTTACAGCTTTTGTGGGTTTTCACTAAGCTCTTTGAAAAGTTGTTTTATCTCCTAGGAAAAGAATGGCTTCATATATATATATACACACACACACACACATAATCCTACTGCAAATTCCTATTGAAGGATGTGAACATCTTTTGTTCAAACACCACCAGTTCAAACTAATCGGTAACACAGAGTATCACTGCATAGGAGCAACTTTAAATTCCAAATCAACAAATGTTTACCTGTCTCAAATAAAAATATAGTTGAAAATCGTCCAGAAATTTTAAGTGTTCTCTTGAAAACAGGCCAGACAAGACAGTTTGGTCAGTCATTTACTGACTAATCTCTGAGTAATGAGGGTGTTTTTCAGCTGGTCCTGGACTCTGTTGTTTACCATTATCCGTAGGTATATAGACAGCATTATAACCCACTCAAGCCTTTATTTTGCTGGAATAAATAGACTGTTATTCTACTGATCATCTATATTTTACATGCCTGCCAGTTTGAGTTCATCTTTCTTGACATGCGTGATGATAATAGCGTGCAGTTTACATTTCCATTTAGATCCCATCAGCTCCTTGTACAATAAGTCTGGAATTACTGCATGGTTGATCCAAACTTCTTGTATTAGGTAGTTTCTTTATCTTCTAGTCTCTTTTTCTGAGGCTCAGTATTCCATGCAAAGCCCAACTTTGCCAAATGTGCTAAGCTTGCAGCTTCTTTTTTGTTTTTTTTTTTAACCGGGTGAGATTGAATTTAGGGTAAACCCTAGAATATTACATTGCAGTATGCAGAAGACAACTGCCAACCGAACAAACACCATACAGGTGGGATGCAGATTGTATGTGGTTCTGGTATGTCCTAGCGAAGACTAAGTATCATTCTCAGAACCAGAAGTAGGTTTTTCTGTGCAGGATAAATTGTCTTTGAGCTAGTCTGTGAAGCCAACAAGCTGTGACTTTGTATGCCTTGGTTTGAGATTTAGTGGAATTTTCTTTTGGTCAATAATTAAGTAAATAATTCATTGTTTATCAAAACAGATGACATTGCTGTTTGCGGTATGTCGTTCATGAAGACTAGAAAACTGTTTTGCATCCCTTTAAAAGAACTTGAAGTACCTCCTCTGTGGGATTTGACTTTTAGCAAATGTGCCCAAGAGGATGCTATACACACTTTGTCCCTTTTCTTTGGGCTCTGATGACTCTGAAGTTTCTCAGGATTTAAGTTACTTTGCTATTAAGAGAGAACGTGCTCTCTCGTGCACATGCTGAATGAAATCCCCATAGACTGAGCATGTGGAAAAATCACGTTTTAGTTCTGTGAACTGTTCCTTAAGGAAACAATATAATATCTTTTCTGTTTAGTTTTTTCTAATAGGATGCTGCAGTAAGAATTAGAAGTGCCATGTAATTAAAGTTTTTCTGCTTGAAGTAATCCAGTTGAGATTCACTTTGGTGTCATTTTCATGGCTGGGTTTATTTTTCAGAGAAATAGTCTCCTTATCGTTGTTGGCTTAGTTTAAATATCATTGTCTGGGATTAGTGTCTGATATTGAGCTAGTTAAAGTAGTATTAGTTAAATGCAAAGATTTAAATCAGATTGTTCAGTTATGAAATATTACACAGCACAGAAGTATGCAGTTCAGATGTTATCTTTCTGTAATCCAATATTTGCTTTATCTTCTCTCTCTTTCAATTTTACAGGAAGACATCTACATGTATGGAGGCAAAATCGAAACAAATAATGGCAATGTTACTGATGAGCTGTGGATTTTCAACATACACAGTCAAACATGGAGTACCAGAACTCCTGCAGTACTTGTACATGGCCAACAATATGCTGTGGAAGGTCATTCAGCACACATAGTAGAGCTGGACAGCAGAGATGTGGTTATGATTATTATTTTTGGATATTCTGCCATATATGGTTACACAAGCATTGTGCAAGAATACTACATCAGTAAGTCACTTTCAAATCATTTTAATCATGTACTGATTAAAAAAACCTCGTGATTTTTTTCAAGTGAAGAACACTCCTGTTTTTTGGAAAGAAAAATATGTATTTTGCAAAATAAATAAAACCTCATCCTTTTTCTTTCAAACGATATAGATCAGATTTTTTGTTAAGAGGTAGCATTTCATATATGTTTGGAGTATAATGGCTTTGGCTTTGTGTTACTGTGTACGTGGCTGTAGTACTCTAAATGGTTTAAAGGTCAAAACCAGAAATTCGACTCAGTGGTTACTGTTGTGTTGAAACTTACCTCTTTACCACAGACTTACTGTTTTTGCCACAGAGTAGACAGAGTAAAAAAAAGAGTAAGTAGAGCAAAATGAAAGGGCAAAACAGAATGCAATGAACAGTGCCTACTACAATAATTTAGTTATTTTGAAGGTTCTTTAATGTTGCTTTAATACTTTCATTCTGATTTTTGAAATGTAATAACTTAGTTAATCATTGTATATAGGGTTCTCTAAAGTGTATACATGTAGCTACTTGAGGAAATAGAGAAAATTAACATTAATTTTTGTAAATAACCTGCTATGTCTGTCTGGAATTCCCCTTGCAGACTGGCAAGCTTTTCTTAGGGGTGATTTTAAATGCCAGAATTAAATAAACCATGGCAGTTTTTTATCCTTTCAATAGGATAAACTTGAAAATCTATAACTTGTGATATGTTTTTTAGGAATGTTTATATGCCCACTAATTCAAATTATAATCTTATCTTACTTTTTTTGATTCCATGTTTTCTATAGAATTGATCTGAGTCCCTCAGTTATTTAAGCAATCACAGAATGCATAATATAAAATTCCAAAGTAATATTTGTATGTTAAGGCATATTTTTTTAGATCATTCCATTTTACTTTTTTTACATGTATGCGTGTATAGAAACACTGTTTAAGCAGATTTATGGGCTGGGGAAGCCCCTTCAAAACTCAGAAGGTTCTTAAGCTTCCCTGGCATTATCTCTGATGGTAGTGTTGAAATTTTATAACAATGTTGAAAAGAGAATGGGAATAAGAGTAAGAGCACCATGATGTGCTTTATCCACACTGAAAAATTTGATTGAACTGCATAAAACTACTATAAAACTCTGGTCTTTGAATGATGTCTCACAATGATATTATTAACAATAACTATTAAAGGCCAGGTTTTTTTGAAAAACTTAATTTCTGAAATTTTTTTTTTAATTACCAGAGATATTTTTTTTTTCTTGAGAACAAGAATATATTGTTCTAGTTTTTTGTGTGCTCTTTCACAGTAATGCCTATTGGAACTTTGTATTATTTGCTTCTTCACATGCTACTTATTTAGTCTGGAGTAGAAGTACAACTATTCTCACCTATTATTGTGGTTAGTTTGAATATGAAGAGGGAAATGAAAAGGATGAGGAGTACACGATTCACTTTCTAGTGTAAAATTTTCTGTCTGGTGGATTTTATTACTGGCCTTATGGTTGAAATGTACAACTTGTTCCTATTTTTAATTTTTTTTTTTTTAATGTTCAAGCTATATTTGTGGAGGATTAATAAAACAGACTAACTAAGTGTATATAAAACAAACAAAGAAAAAAAATCTAAACCTTTCATGCCGTGGTGATAAGCTTTGAGTAAGAGAAAACACTTATTTCTCTGGCAGTTGTTATGGGTCAGAATTATTCTCAAGTTTTTATGTCTCCTTTCTGAAATGATCATTTTATCACATACTAGTGAGAAATTCATCAAATTGCATCAAATATAAAATAAACTTGTAGCAATATAGGGTATTACTGTGGAAACCCATTGATTTCAGTGAGTCTACTCAGGTGATGAAGGATCCTTGGTGCATGCAGTGCTTCACAGAACATGGTCTCTGTGCTGTAACTGAACCATTTCTGCTGTGGATAATTCTCATGTTTCCTTTTACCTCATTGCATCTCCCTCCTTCACCTCCCCTCAAAGTTAAATGAATTTTGTGGCAAATTTTCCTGAATTCTATGTCAGCTGTAGCATTTCTCTACAGTTTTGCAGCTGTAGGATCATTTTTAACCATAAAATTCCAGATGGTGCTTTGAACTAAGAATGACTAGATTTTTCTGGGGACTTTAGCAGCTCATTAAAAGACTTAGGAAGTGATAGAAGTATTGCCGTGAGCCCACCTGAATTGGAAAGAAAATTTGTTATAAAAAAGGGCTTCTGACATTACAGAAAGAAAAATTATTTTCTCTGCTTGCTTTTAAAACATACATTGCCTTAACATTTCAAATTGTACTGCTTTATTCTTTCTAAATGTTATCAGCCATGGCTTTTAGTTCTAATGAAGGCTATTTTTCAAGCATTTACTAGATGCCTACTGAAAGAAAGAGGCAAGTTACGCTTTGGTTCAAGTGAGTTGAAACCTCTAGTGATCTAGTCCTGTTAATAAACTTTGATTAATGTGATATGTGGCATTCTGGTGCTAAAGCCTTCTTTAGTTGCTGTGACCCTGATTTCCATGGGGTCTGGATCAAGAAACCTCTGAAGAAGTTTAAATTATTCGTAGATTCACTCACTTTTCACACAGGTATATAGGTCTTATTAACAAAACGTGAGTCAAATGTGTGTATGGTCTGAAAATTTCTCTGATGTTGTCTGATTAGTGAAGTAATTTCTAACACAGTCACATAAGTTCTGGAAAAATCGGACCAGGTTTGCAGGCAGATTTTCACCATGCAAAAGCACAGGAATTCATTTCTACTCCAAAGGTGTGGTAGTTGTTACAGGAACAAAAAAGCTTCCTGTTGTCCTTTCTTGCTATACCTAGACTTACGGCTTTTGAGGAACCAATAAATCCTGGCATGGGAATTATGTGAATGATTTTACTAACTTGAACTGTAAAGCTTTTCTGGGTTACTCCCCAGGGAAATTTATTTCCCTTTAGGTTAGCAATACCTCATAAACCTTCTAAGAATCTCAATGTGAGTCTCAAGGTGAATATAATAATGGTGGTTTGTTTGCAGCTGAGCTTTATAAAAGCTCCTTATATATTAAGAAACTTTTGAGTATGTCTTCTGTGATTTTATTTTATTTTTTTAGAAGACAGAGTTTTGTTTGGATTAGCAGCATATCACTGGTTTTAGGCTGCATTTTTTATGACTTTGGAAGTAGGTTATAGGTTGCTTTTGTTTAAAAATGTTTCTTTGAAATAGTGTTAAAAGAAATGGCCCTATGATGTAACATGTGCTAACTCTTTTGTAAGTTAATGTAAGGTTTGTGGTTGCTCAAAATAATTTTAAAGTTTGTCACTGCAATGAAATGTAGATGGCACACCAAGGTGCTTCTTGGACATTTTCGTTTTTTTACTTAGTCTGTTTGAAGGTTGTATTGTGATAAGGACAGATCAGGCCAATATATCTACCTTTCCTTGGATTTTTTTAGTGCATTTTTTTCCCCCCCCCAAACATTTATTTAGAAACAACTTAATATCAAAATGCTATTTATAGTATTCCAATTTGATTGGTAAAATTATTATTGCTCAAATTTGCAGTTTTTCTTGATTTGGCCATCCTAATCAGTTTCATACAAGGAAATGATCTGTAAATCTTATTTCACTTGCTTTGCATTCTCTGATGATGGAATGGTGTTACATCTTTGGATGTGATAAACATCCTGTGAACAAAAGGCTGGAATTCATCACCTTGGCCATCAAAATCAGTGCTTTTTAAATGTAAACATCATATTTTATAATTCCTTTCAAAAATATATGAGGATTAATCTTAAAGAGTTTGGGGTTTATTCACAGTATCATTGGAAAATTGGTTATAATTTGAGTGACTAGGCATATTCTAATTCATAGCCTATATTTATCAATAGCCAGTTTATATTCTCTATTCATTTGATGTAAGCAGCTCATCTCCCTTCTTGGAATTCTCTTTGAATTATATTTATAGATACCAACCCTCCCTTTTGCAAGACTAATTAAGGCAACCTCATTTATTCTGCTTTCATTCTAATAGTTCATCTGTGTACCTTTTCCCCAAGGAGTTAATCTCTGTTGAACATAGATGGTTAGAAAAGCATGTGAGATGTTCTAGGTGAGATTTCACCAGGGTCTGGCTGAATAACCTTAATCCTACTTCATTAGGAACACATCACTTGGTGTGAAGTAAAATGACATTTGCATTGCATCCATGAGAAAGTCATTAATGGCTCATAGACTTTCTCTGAGGAAGCAGTACTCCTACTCATTCTTCTCAGTCATTATCAACTGATGATCTTCCATTTTAGAGAGGTTCATGTTGCTAATCCTAGTGCACAGTATCTTTAAGTTGTTGTTGAATTTTGATCCATTTTTTTCCAGTAGCCAAGATCATACAGTTCATTCAGCACATTCTTCTGCTGCTTTTGTGAATTGATAGTGTCTAAATTTATCCAATTATTACACCTTAAGTTTGTGACAGTGTCATAAAATGCACCCATTCTGATCCTTAAGAAGTTCCCCAGTAATCCCAATACCTCTCAACAACGTTCACTGCTGCTTCTTGTTTGGTGCCAAAATCCCATTCCTTTTTAACGGCGCATTTACTAATTTCCCATTGTGACAGTATAGTAAGGATGTTACTGAAGCCCAGATACTGAGAACACCTACGCTTCCTTCTGTAGATCATTGTTTTTTAGGTAAATGCGATATAAATGGTTTGGAACATTTATATTGTCCAGTGAAACTGTTTCCCATTATTTCAACGTTTGTTATTTATCCTTTTTTAAAAATAAACTTTGTTCTTAATCTTTGCATATAACTGAAGTGAGATTAAGGTGTACAATTGTCCAGAAATTGTCTCTTCTCCCTCTGATCTGTAATGTCAGCACTATGATTGCTGTTCTTTGGTAATATCTAACCAGCTTTGTTCAAAATGCTTGCTGCTGGGCCTGCAGTTTCACTTGCTGTGTTTGTCAGAGTTTTGGAATAGAGTCATATCCCCAGCTTCAGTACATTAAATTAATGAGTTTAGCTTCTATCTCAGCTGTGATTTGTTTTTCTGTTTACATGTTTTTGTAGATGCCTTTTCTTCTTTTTTTCTTTCACTTGGTCAGTCTCCTGGAAATGGTTGTGGTAAAACTGGACATGAACCACGTGATTCTCTTTGACAAAGGTGGCCAGAATATTGCAACATGTGACTGTGTCCAGCTGTTTAGTATCTGAAAGATTTAATTATCTGAAGGTTATCATAGTCACTTGCCTAAGCATTTTAAGAGAAACTTTATGTGGTAGAATTGTCTGGAAGATTGCCCAGATGTTGATGAAAAATGTCAAATTACAAATGAAAATTAGAAGCCCCTATTACTGGAATGATTTTCTTTGTTGTGATTTTTTTTTTTTTTAATTAATTTAATCTTATTTTTACACTGGCTATTAGACATACAAATTGGGGAGTGAAAAAACTCCTATATCCTTATTTCTGGTTTCTTTATTCATAGAGCTCTTTCTGTATTTGGCTTTTCATCTGTTGAGGATGCAGAATTTTGCATGATTGTTTTGGTCAATCAGGTACTTCATCTGATCTAATGATAGAAAGAGTGGGATCTCTTTGCATATGAGATGTTGTGTAAATACCTTCAATAAAAATTACATCTGTTTTAAAAAAAGATAAGTGAAGATCCATATCAATGAATTTTTTTTTTAAAAAGGCAAATCACATGCATAGTAATGTCTTTACATTAAGACAGAAGTGTATTTTTTGTCTGAATGATGCAATATTCAAGATGCTGAGGAAGTGTGAAATACATCAAAACTGCACATAATACATTTCAGTATTGAAAATTCAGGCAGCTCAATTAAATTTTAGTGTGGGAAATAGAAGGAGAAACTGTAATACTCCTTTTGACTTTTATTTCAGAAAGATGTTGCTGGATCTCTTTTCTCAAATTTAGATAGTTATCCATAGCATATGGGTTCTGTTACGCAAGAAGGAACAGCTATTCATATTTCTGCGCAAGTCATGTAAAGCTATGCAATATGCAGTTTCACCGTGACAGTGTTTTAAATGCTACATGACCAGTCAGATATAAATGCAAAATATTCTATTATGCATATGATTAACACCATTGTGTAAATTTATGTGGAGAAATAGTCATTTTTCCCTTAAAAGCATATATGCCAATCTTTAGACTGATCACTATTCAAATGAAAAAATGAGGATGGTGTTGGTGATAACGATGTATCTGCAGGTTGACTCGTCACCTACATTTTACATGAATTGTATCAAGTAAATCTATTTTTTAGCAAGGTAATATGTATGTAAAATACAGTATTATTGGTACAAATTTGATGTTTGTGTTCAGAGTTGCAGTTCTTAATAGCTTGATAATATCCAAGTAGAGATTGGAATAAAATACTTGTTACATTACACTACATATCAATAATGTAAATATACTGTGTCTGATATAAATAGTGTATTACACAAATTTCAGTGTTCATACTCACAAAAAATTAGCACAAGTCTTCCAGTTTAATCTATACTTTATAACTTGCTATAAGCACTCATTACTGAAAAAAAAAAAAAAAAAGTAACTTAGAGACACTACCTGGAAACCATTTAATGAAAGTAGAATAGCAACAGTAATAACTGAAAGTCATGGGTCTTTTCACTGAGCAGAAGAATCTGGAGGAAAAAGAGGTAATCTTAAACTACCTACATAATATCAGATAAAAATTGAAATGGAGTTTAAACTAACTTTAGATGAAGCAAAGTGTGTGGTGTTGTGGGCCAGCCTTGGATAAGTAACTTTATAATGGCAGCCAATTTATGTTAAGAATTAGGAGACTGTTCCATTTTGGAAGTCCTTGGCCACACTTCCTATTCTTCTGACATAATCTTCAAGAGGCTGTAAGTGAATTATTTCTTCCATTTCACATCCATAAAACTGGCTGCCTAATCATCATAGGCTCTTTTGAATAGGCTGGTTTCTACAGGAAATACCTCCTGGCTTGCTCTTTTTGTGGCTTATGTCATCAGCTGGGAAGATGGAGGGGAAAAAAATGGAAATTTCAGGGCCACAGGCAACAAAAAGTCACTTAACCTCTCTGTCTTTTTTATTGCTATGGTAAAATAGTTTCCAATTGTGTTTTATTCTTCAGTCATAACAGCTATTGTGAATGGCTTTATTTGGTGTCTCTCTGCAGTTATTAATGATGTGATGTAAAATGTGGATTGAAGTGCCAGTTTAATGAGCTGCTATCAAATTATCCTATTGTGAGTTTTCAGCAACTGAGTAGGTATATTTGCAATCAAATAACTAGAAACAGTAGTTGGAAACTGATTTCATCTCAATAATTTTACAGTTTACCAGCAAAATGCCTATCTATATCCATGTGTACTTTGAGGTACCTTATGTTACACGCTTCTCACAACTTGCAGCAGTTCAGTTTCTGCCAGGCTTCTCCAGACAATTTCCCCGTGACTGAGTACAGGTGTTCCTAATGCAGGTGATGTACCTGGAGCACTGAATTCTTATCAGCCTTCTCTGGTGGAACAGAGTTAAAGCTGAGAGAGAATTAATTGTAACTCTTCATTTCATATTTTCCAATAGGCTTGGGCTTTTTTTTTGTTTTGTGCACGCACACTGAACTAACACATGGGAGAGTATGAAATACTGCCTGGCACCTGTAACAATGATGTATTTGTGATTTAATTAAGAATAGCAGATAATAGCCTAATAATATTATCCAATTGCAGATATTTTGATACATGAGTATACAGTTACTTCTTAAAACAAGTCCCTAGTTATTGCTATATTTAGAATTATAGTGGAAATGATTTTATATACTTAAAACTCTTAGTATTTTGTGTTAGCTATAGTAAGCCTTAAACCTATGTCTTCTGTATGTCTGTTCCAGGGTCTAATTCTTGGCTCGTACCAGAAACAAAAGGAGCAATTGTGCAAGGTGGATATGGCCATACTAGTGTCTATGATGAGCTGACAAAATCTATTTATGTCCATGGTGGATACAAAGCGTTACCTGGCAATAAATATGGATTGGTGGATGATCTTTACAGATATGAAGTTAATACTCGGACATGGTAAGTGGGATTTAAAGTGTAGGAAACTGTTAGTTGTTACTGAAAAAGAAAACGTAAGCATAGAGTAAGCGTCTAGAAAGTCACATAGGCACCTCCATATCCTTTGTGTGTTGCAGAACAGTACATTCGTTGCAACAAAATGGAAGAATTGTGGTAAGGGATTAGACTTTAGCCAGCGGATTAATGGAGCTACATATCAAAGGAATGGCAGAGAGGACGCTTTGCACGTGTTCTACAAATTAAGAAAAGGTTCTCCTATCCAGGCATAACCACCATGCAGGAATAGTACACACGTACTGTTTTCACATGGTGTGCTGATGCACCTTCAAGTACCTGTTATATAAACAAGTAGAGAAATATAAGAACTGTGGAAGGTTATTTTTCACAAAACTATCAGAAATAAGAGAGAAAATTCCTGGAATTTTATAGAGATCCTTGATTATTAATGTTTTTGGTGTTTCTTTTTTTGTTAGTTCCTTGTCCCTCAAGTTTATTGTAACTTATGAATGCTGCTTATATGTTATGTACAGAAGGTGACCTTAACTGTTTTTTCTTGCCTTATAGTTCTTGATCTCAAATCATCTCTGTCATGGAACATTTTATTCTTGCAATTTAATATTTCTGTTGAGCACTAATGGCTTAACTTTAGCACACAAGACTTGCTCTCAGATGTTGGAAACGTGGGTTTGATTTCACTAAGGCTCTTGATTTTGAATGCCACTAACTCATGGCACTTGGAAACCTTATTACACGAATTTTTTGTCCCTTTTAATGTATTTTTTAAATTATTGAAATTTTAATTTTCTCTTATTATACTCTATTCTTGGAACAAAGTGATATTGTATCCTTTTGAAGGTCTGTTCAACAATATAATAACAATTATTGGAATATTTTTATTAATTATTCATATAAAAACTATCTATACTAATGTGGCATTTTCTACATCTTGTAGAGAACTTAACTCTTATTCGTTTCATGAGTATTACACTGGAAATCGATTGTGCTATGGGACTGAAAGCTGGCTGAGAGGATGGGGTAATGACACTTATGTAGGAAAAAAAAATCTTTGTTTACTGTATCTGTGACATAATCAGTATTCAAAGCACTCAGTGAGGCAGTTGAGCCTGAACTGACTAGGTGGGATATGAGGAAGAGGTGGAATCACGATGGCTTTCTCATGCCCATGTACATGGCTTTTTTCACACTTGCATTTGCTTGTCCTCTCTGTCTCTGTTTTTCTCTTGCCTTCGCTTCCTCTCTGTTTCTCTCTCTCATCTGGCTGAGGTTCATATGCTTCACTAAGTCTTGGCATACAAAGTTGATTACTTGTTTTATTCAGTGGCATGTGGGTTTTCATTTCTTCATATCAATTAGGCATAAGCTTTATGTTTCTTGGAATGTGAGGGGGTGATATCTTAATTCCTAGTCTGAACATTATTTCTAATACATGATGGAGAATTACAGCGTGTGTAATACTGGCATTGCTTTGCATTACTTGCATATATTGCTGCAGTTGGCAATTGGGGGGCAATGTGGTGCTGGGCTTAGATAATGGCTTGAAACACTGGAAGCACCTGCTGGCTCCTGGGTATTTCTATTACCATTATAATATCATGCTGTTGTAGGCAACACTTGGCATCGGTATAGTTAACATGGACTAATGTTTGCAGATACACGTATATGTGCATTAATAATGAATTCCATGTAAAGTGTGCTGAGACTCTCAGATAATTTGCATGGTGTTGATATGTGTTGGAGAGTTCTGAAGATTGCTCTCATCAGTGATGATAATGAATAGTGAAAATCCTGGCCAAATTAACAAACTTGATTGCATTACACTTCTTCTTCTGCTGAATCTTGGGGAAAAGTTACTGTTATCAGGAGGGATGAAACTCAGCACACAATATGCAAAAATTAGGCAAAAATTCCGCCTGTAAAATGTGGGGACCAGAGCTGGGGCAATGCAGTTGGGTGGCCAGTAGAAAAGTGAGTAGCCCAAAGAAAAGCTGCAGAGATTGCTGTTATATTCACTCTAGAGAGGAGAGAGTCCTTAGTTTTCCCCAGAACAGTGTATGGCTCTTTAGGTCTTCAGTGATCAAGACAACTATTTGCAGACAGCTGCAAGGCAGGATAATCAAGACAGAGCCTAGTGTATAGCAATTAATGTAAATTAGGAGGTAGGAGCTGTAGAAAACTGGTAAAGCAAAAGACAAAGAAATCTATAGTCCAAATGGATAAGGACAACATGTTCTTAGTATATTGTCATTCTTTCAACTCATAGCAGCAGTATTCCTCCATTACTAGTTGAAAATAGAAGACATTATTTTTAACAGTTATTTCCTTGACATTCCTAATTTTGTATGTTGCTGACTGATGAGTTGAAACCAAATATCACATTTTTCTGGATAGGTACCATAAGTATTCTTTATGAAGCTAATTCCTGGTTAGAAAAACACACTTACGTAATGTTCTACTTTCAAAGTATATTAATCAGAAATACACAACAAAAGTGCAAGTCACAAAAAAAGGATTAAAAAACCACAAGCAGCACATTGATAGGTATGCTGGTGGCTTGAAGGAATTATTGCATTATTTTAAGCAAATAATGAGAATTTAAAAAAAAAATTTAAACTTTTGTTTAGTCTTTGCTATTTCCTTTGATATTACTTCCTAGGGGTAGGGGGGAAGCTGTTTAAATGACAATACGAGAACTTAAGTTTAATGCCTTCCTCCTAGCTTTTTAAAACATAGCATCTCTTATCATTTAAATATCTCGAGTTTATTGATTAATTTACATTATTATATCAAAACAATCGATGTACTTTAAACCTCTCCCCCAAACCCTATGATGATGTAAAAATATTGAACAAATATTATCAATGTGATTCAGGAGAGAAAGTATTATTCAATCAGAAGGAAAGCTTGTCAAGTCCATATGTTCATTACAGGAAACGAATGACAAAACAGTTGAATTGTAGATACGAGCAGTGTGCAGTAACACAAGTGAAAGTGAGAGTCTAAACTTGAAAATGGTTAGATTACTGAGACAAACAAAAGGTTATTAGGGGAATGTAAATAATATTCTGTACAGAAGATATAATCAGCTCTTCACATACATGTCTACAGCTGGTCTACTTAACTAATTCAAGCTGGCAAATCCCACAATTGGTTACTCGCTTGCTTGGTAAGATTTATTTGCTGTGATTAAATCAAGTTTGTATTCTGTTCTCTCTACTAGCCCCACACCTGCCACTTTAAAACTGTGGTATTGATAGCTCTTGGCTACTGTTGGGCCCATGTTATTGCTCTGGCACAAAGCAAACTGCACAGACACTGGCTGAAATGAATGAGGAGAGATCAAAGACTCAATGTGCATGGACTGTTTTTTTGGTACTGAAATTCTGTATGTTTGAGTCTGCCAGCCTGAATATATTTATGAAGCAGTGCAAGTGTTTTTCATCATAACTAGAATGCCTTCTACCACTTCTTTTCCAGGTCTGAGTGTTCAATTAATAACAAAAAAGTTTCTCCATTTCCAATACTTAGGATGGTCTATAGATTCTTTTAGCCTTTTAAAGATTTCTGTACTGCATTGCTTCAGCAAAAAACCAGCATGGCTAAGAATATATGAGAATAGGAATTAATATGAATGGATTTTCATTCAGTTTTAAGTAAAATTTACCGTATTATTCACTTCTGAAGAATGTAAATATGACATAATTTAGTTCTGATATGTTATTTGACATACTGGATTTTTAATTTACAAAAAAGCACCATGTTTTAAATGAATGCTAAATATATTTGTTTTAACATGAGAAAATTCTTAATAAAACCAATCAGAATACATTTCATCATATTTACTGAGTAGTAGCTTTAGTGTTTTCCTTGTATTTTATATTGTTTTAATCTATAAATTTTCTAGATGTGTATATGTAGGTTTTCACATGTTAATAAGTATTAATTTATTTTTTATATTTTGCAGGACTATTTTGAAAGAGAGTGGCTTTGCAAGGTATCTTCATTCAGCTGTCCTAATCAATGGAGCTATGCTCATTTTTGGTGGAAACACTCATAATGATACTTCCCTGAGTAATGGTGCAAAGTGCTTTTCTGCTGACTTTCTTGCATATGATATAGGTATGTATTGTATTTTTCTCATTTGAGTTTTAAATATCGCAGTGTTACTTTCTCAAGTCCAGCTAATGTGATCCTTTAAAGTCTTGATCCCAAACACCTTCAAGTTATTTATAATTTATATTATAACACCAGGCTTTTGTTCCATAATAGTCTTAAGTTTTTGATTTATGGAACAAAGCATAGAAGCTAAAATGATTAACTTATTAAAAAGTGTCTAAAACTGTCTTATGAATAGCAGACATGTTACTAAATGAATTGCAAGAATTGGTGCATTTTGGTGTTATGAAAGTGTGTTGAACAGATACCCTAGTGGTTATTACTTCCAAGTGTTGATTCATTTTTCATACTGAATATCTACATAGTACTAATGAAATATGATGCTGGAACTTAAAAAAAACCCTACAACAACCACCAAACAAAACCCATACAACTCCCTCCCCTAAAACCAAACCCAAAATATTTCCTCATAAGTAACACTTGAGAGAGTCCTAAAAAGTTTAGACTTTGCAGTTTAGAAAATGCATCGCTCAGTGCTTATATCAAGGCACCACAATGGGCCTGAGTTGAAAATCATGGAGTGGAGAAGCCAAGGTAGGCAGCAATCTGAAAGGTGAGGCAGGGGGAATCATGTGGTCTGGTACGAGCAGTCTTGCTGGGTGGAAGGAAAATTCTGGGGGATATTCCACCATATACACTAATAGGATGACATTAAATGAATCAGGGCAATAATAGACTACGGAAGACTTTTGCATCGTTATGTTAAGGGTAAACTGTGTTTCCATGGACAACAGCTCAATGGAAATGGCTAAGCTATTTGTGCTTAGTTTCATGGGACAAAAGATAGTCTTAGGAGGATGGTGCTAAAAAAAAGGTTTACTTCTGAAGCACCAAAGCCTGCTAGTATGCAGTACAAATGTCAAAATACAGAATTCATTCCCAGTTACTTGAGTTCAAAAGTAGAAGTGAATAGTAACAAAAGAAGCCCACAAAACTTTGCTGACAACTGGCTGGGAAGAGGCTAAACTGTTGTTCAGGGACAATGAGGTGATTGGAAATGAGAGTCAACATGAGATAATGTTTAATGGAACAAGGTACAAGTCATACACTTAGGGAATTACAAGAATTTTCTCCTACAAACTGAAGGAAATGACAGAGGCTGTGTGTCTGAATCAGGAGTGGCATATGGCTGTGGAAGTGGCCTATGCAGTCCTAATGACAAGAAGAAAGAAGCATCGATGCTGTCCTCAAGGCCCTGGATATTTTTGTAGAAGTTTGGCAAGAGGCATTTAAGAAAGACAAACTCGAACAGGGCCCTGCATAGCAAATGGTATTAAGGTTGACTGAAGCACGAGGAGCCTTTAGGAGATAATAAAAGGACGTGGTATATTTAATTCCACAAGGGAGTGGTTGAGAGCAGACAAAGATTGTTGTTTATAAATATATGATAAGAATACTCTTTGGAGGAAACCTGTTTAAGGTAAAAGACAGTCTTGAGACAAGACTAGATGGGTGTAAGAGAATGGTTCCAACTATTAGAGCTGTGCAGTTATGGAAAAGCCTCCCTATAGGATTGTGGAGGCTGTAAATCTAGGGGAGTTTAATGAGCCTATAATCTGTTTCCTGTCTTGTTTATTGCCACTGCTGTTCTTACCATAAATAGTTTTCCCTTCCCTAATGTTCATGTCCATATTTTATGCATAGGCTGCAAATATAAACACACAGGTCATATTTGGGCCAAAAAGCACAGCCGCTTGCCCTGGGAGCTAAAAATTGGGAAATGTGTCAGAGCAGTCTGGGGAACGGACTCCTGGATGATCCTGTTGAGAATAGCCTGTGGATAGCGCCTGGAGCTATTTTTGGCAAGCGTTTATCAGCTACCTGCAGTGGTAGAAGAGGGTGAGACGTGATCCTTTTTGTAGGACTAGCTGATGACTCTCTATGTCTTTCTGTATAGATAGCAACACAATGTGTTTGCCTTCATACGAAAATAATCAGTAAATTAAGTACGTGGAACATATATGTGTTACTTCCTGCCGGTTTCACTGAGTGTGCGAATTATGCCTTTTCAAAACAATTGAATTTTTTTGACTGTATCCCTTTATTACATATTCTGTAGCTTCTTGTAAGCCTCTGATGGTGTTGAGCTATTGATTTTGTTCGCACTTCAGTTTACATCTGGCTTTAATTTTTAATGAAACAGAGCTCCCTCCTCATTTTAGAGGATAATATTACTTATTGGTCTACATTTATTTGTAGAATGTGCACTTGAGAAGCAATAGTATGAGTCCCAAGATCTAAATAAGTATAGCTGTCTGACTTTCACGCACCAGGAGTTTTTTTATGCTACTTCATGAAAATGTTGTATGCTCGTTGGTGGTTTTTAGTTGTTTTTTTTGTTTGTTTGTTTTGTTTTAAGGTGGAACAATATTTTGGTTTTTCTAGTTGATAACACAGGGAGAATGTGACTTGCAAGAAAATATGAATACTATGTTAAATATTGTAATCAAACTGATGAATTACAAAATAAATGGATGCAGTAATTACTCTTTAAAAAAAAGAATTAAATCTATGAAGATTTATTTGATTTAGGCTTAATCTTCTGTATTATTCATTTCACCACATTAAAAACACAATCTCACAGCACGCATTAGATAAAGACATACTTTTTCAGAAAGCCATAAATACTTATTTTACTAAGAATTAAATAATTTATAGAATGGGTATATTTCAGAATTTTATTTACTTTGTAGTATGAGTTTTTGAACAATGCTTGGAAGAAAAAATATATGATGCTATCAGTATCACGTTTCCTAGATACGTTGCAAGTGATGGAGTGTTATGCTCTGTCTTGTAAAAAATGGGTGCTGTCTGGAAACCAGCTGAATCCTGGAGATAGAGCCTATACTATTTATGTTCAAGTTGGGCTATATAGTACTTTTGATTATATCTCTTATTATATGTGACATAGTCTTACAGATAGATTGCTTCAGCTTTTTATTATCCATGAAAAAGCTTACTGTTTTTCATATTAATGTGAAATAACTATTTGGGGGGATTCATTTCAGTTAAGTTTAGCTATCTAAAAGGTCAGTTTCTAATACAATCTGGTAATCCAGACTCCTCCTCTAGTCAATGGAGGGAGATAAGGATCTCCTGAGCGCAACTAATTTTACCAAGTTTAGGACAGAGTTGCTCTCTTTTTTTCTTCTTTTCTGGAACCAGTCATTGCCCTCTAGGTACTGGACTTAGTCTACATGCGTAAGTTTTAGACAGTTAAATGTAAGTGTCATGAGCCAAGAGCTCAATTCAGTCATTTTAAATGCTTACTGCATCGGATAATATTTGTTAAAGCTGAAGACTCAGAGATCTGTAGATGTTGTAAAAACTATTATGATGCCCTAATTTTCATAATTTAATATAGTTTGGTGTATTTATATTTACTGCTATTGAAGTAAGTGATGAGAAGTCTGCTGCATAAAATGAGCTTTAGAAATGTGACCTTTGGTGTGTTTTTGTCCTCCACTGGTATTTGACCACCAGATTTGCTGGCAAGTTGCTCTGGTAGCTGCTTAAAGATCCAGAAATGGTTATCCTCATAGAGATGAGGTATTTTCTGACCATGCTGTTATTGCTTATATCATGCTGAAAGAGGAACCTTGGCAATGGGGACAGTGCTGCCACTGGGCTCAGTCTTGGATGCTGTGGTTGACCTGCAGTTTTCCAGTTCATGTTGGTTATGGCTTTTCTATATTTACTGTTCACTGGAGTGCCATAGCTACCTGTTCAGTACGTAAAAAGATGAGGGGCCTCAACTGGTGAGATCCTGCCTATTATGGATGTAATGTTAGGGTTCAACCTAGAATCTTTATTCAATTCTTCCATTATAGCATTTGGAAAGATATCTGTAGCAGTTTTCTCGTTTAGAGAAGGAAATTGAATAGGTGTATATAGCAAAAATATATATGCATTGCTTTGTGAAAATTTGCGCTCCTTGGCAGCTCTTTGGAATTTGGGGAGTTACATATGCAAAGGACAGTTTGTGTATAGTCATCATATATAATCATGACAGCTAATACAAACTGGAATGTGCCTGTCTGAAAATCTTGCTGCATACTTACTTAATTAATAGAGATTTATCTTTCAAAATAAGGTATTATCTTGTTCTTCAGTCTTTGCTGTGTAATTGAGAAACTATATATTAGGACCTGTACCCTGACTTCTCCCAATTTCTTAGCAGCACTTTGTAATATGTAAAAATTGCATACCTTTGGGGGACTGAGACATGGTAGAAGGAAAGTAGATAATCACCACTGACTTTAAATTCTACAAAGTGCTTAGCTCCCACAGAGATTAGTTTAAATAAACGTGTAATAGAACTAGAGAGGAAGTGTGACATGCATCAGTATTGATGTTTTCTTCCCGGTACAAAGTTTGTCATTAGTTCAATCACACAAGTTGGTTACTGTTGGCCTCAAGGTCACCACTGTGTGTTTTGCCTACATGGTGGTAGCGTGGTTCAGCCAGGCTAGTGTGCTGGGGTGTTTTTTCTGAATATTTGATTAATTTAATTATATACATTGTATAAGCAATAGAATACACTTCAGAGAGAAACCATGGTGATCTGTCTACCACACAAAGTTCTAGTCCAACTCCTGCTCCAAACAAAGTATTATTCTTTTGCAGAAGTTCATTTAGTGAGTACACATATCAACAATTTGCTGAATTCTGTGAAAGGATAAGAGTAGTGAAATAAATAGCATTCCATGCAAAGTAGTTTGTAATTGCTTTAAACATTTATAAACAAAATGAAACCACTTCTTGAAGACATCTCATTCCTTGACCATGACTAAGGATTATTTGATGCAAGGTAGGAAAATATGAGGACATACTTTTACATAAATTTACATGAATTTGAGCAAAAATAGCTTATTTGGATCAGCTATTGGATGGGCTCCAGTGTAATCAAAATGAGCTAAAAGCTATTACGGATTCTGCCTTGC